CATCAAAGAAGATGCAGATCATATTTAAATTCTTCCTTTTAAACATGTCTATCTTCCCAGATCCAGGGCTCACAGAATGACTTAAGTGGCTTCCAGGCTTGTGTGTGGGAGGCTGAAGACTTAGGCACTATGGCAATCGTGGGTTTAAATAAATAAGCAGCGTAAGTTCACTGCTGCCACAAGCAAGACTTCTAAGCCAAACACAGAACCACATTTTAATGACTGTAAGCTCAGAAATTTTTACCTAACATTAAATTAGCTAGATCCCTGCCCCTGGGCCTTTTTCTTTTTCTTTTTAATTTTTTTTAGGGGGTTAGTAATTAGGTTTGTTTGTTTGTTTGTTTGTTTGTTTGTTTTTAGAGTGGGTACTGGGGATGGAAGGGCCTTTTCTTTCTTGAAATGCCCCTCTCTATTGCTTTTTCCATCCCAACTTCTCTTTAAACTTTCCTAATACATTCTGTGAAAGTCACATTAGGTTGGTGGTGCCACAGGCTCTCACTAATGACAACGTATGTAATTCCTCATTCTTAGAAAAAGAGCCACCGAATACTTGTTGCAGATAGAAACAAACATTTTAGAAGTTCTTCTGGGGTCCTGTTTGAAAAGTGCCCTACAAAAATGGCAGCTGCCCTGAGCGCACAGAGTCAGCACATGGTAATGCAATTTAGCCAGCACAACAGCCTGCTGAGGTACTGCCACTCTTCAGAAGAGTCAGAATGTTCACCAAGATTCATATCCTCAATACCTGGCAGCACTCCCCTTAGCATCCAGATTTCCTGATTTACCAGGTCCAAGCTCTCTGACGCTTAACATCATCCCCGGGAAAAGGGGCAAGTGAACGTGTTTCTCTTATGTTTTTTTGGTCTTTCATCTCTTAGAACAATTACTGACTATTGAAAGTAGACCACTTCTTTTCCTCATAAAATATACATGCAGATTTTCTTTAATGTTTTAGTTTGTTTTTCTTCAGATAATAACTGATGAAGGGAAAGGGAGTAATGGTTTCAATAAAGCTACTTTCAGCTTTTCTCCCCTTTATTTAATGTTTCTTAACCATGTCTTTAGACACTTAAAGAAGATAGTACTGATCTGAGAACAGATAATCAAATGATAATCCTCCTGCTTAATTTGTGGAGAGTTTAAAAAGGTCCAATATTATGCACAAAATTCTCTACAAATCATCATCTACTAAGGCTTAAAACTTGGGATTGGAGAAAACAGTAATTAAGAATCTGCTCTCTACTACAAACACCACGTTTTCTATTGTTGAGAGTTATGTGTGCTCATTGAGGTGGAAATACAACACAGAACAACTGAATAACAATATTATTCTCCTCCCCTCAAAAATGTCTTTTTATTGTTATCTCATTGAAGAAAATACCCTTTCACACTAAGTAAAATTGGGAGAATCGAAACAAAAGGAAAAAAAAAAGTGCAGGGAAAATAATAGAAAAATAAGAGATGATTAAAATTGATTACTGCAAAACAATTGCGGTTTAGAGAATTTTTTAAAGGGGTTGTCATAGATGTGCAAAACAGGTATATTGAGTCTTTTAAAAGGCAAATTTAGAGTGTTGCTATTTTCTGACCAGATATTAGGACAAGAGGTGAGAGAGAGAGACCCCCATTAAAATGCTTGGTGAGCACTCCAGAGGCCGCCTTTGAGTTAATCAGTAATTTTTCACAGAGGACATCTAATCTATGAGTATAAATTACTTTGCACTCTTATTATTCCTTAATTGAAGTGCACCAATGTGAAATTGCCATAGATGTCGCAGGAATGATTCTAGCCTCAATTAACTTGGGTGGAATTGAAGCCCTTTTTTTCCCTGAACTGGGACTATTGTCTGACATCTTGTATTTATTTAAATTGTTGCTAGAAAATTAGAGGGAGACTGTGTGTGACTAGGTGTTTTATAAGGATGTTCTGGAGCCAAAAGAGCATCTACACCATCTATTTCTATTTTAATCTATACCCTCTGATGCAGCTGTTTTGTGTAACAGATGTGCCGCCAGCAGTAGCTTAATCTCCCCGGATTCCATTTGGGAAGTGTAGATTCATAGCACTCATTTCTTCCGAAGTGGCATTTAGAGTCTCTGTGATTTTTAATTCAAGAGGCAACCACCCCTACTTTTTTTTTTAACCAGCTCTCCTACATAGCTGCTGTTGTCTCACAGATGAAACATGACGTAAGCTTTCTGTCGAGATGGTGCGGAGGGCACCATGAGTGAACTCGGTATTAGGCGTCCCATTCTACCAATTCTAAAACCCTTTGGAAGAACATATTGCCAGTTACTGCTGAATATTAATAGGCAACTGTTTATTAAAACAGTCTTCTGTTTTAAAACTGTAGTCTTCTGGTTTTTTCCCAGCCAATATCATCTGGGAAAATATTACTGGTTTAATAGTTTTCACCTGGAATTAAAAACCATGAAGAAAATAAATATGGTCTCCAAATACACAGTAACTCCATAGATACAGATACAATTATCCTTACAAAGACTATGAAGTAATGATGAAATTGATTCCCAATTCTCAATATTACTAGTAAATATTATCCATATCGAGGATTACAGCTCTAGGTGTCTTCTAAAAGTAAGTTCCGTAAGTTCTCTATATGAACAAATTGATCAATTTATGTTTTGACCCAAATATTCTGCCTAATTATTTTCCACATTCTTAAGACTTACAACCATCTCCAAATGTTGTCTCCAAAAGTCTCCTACTACATGAAAATATTACCTAATACAGTAACATAATATGTTACCTAATTGTAACCTAATTGGCATTACTTGGAGATTAACACCAAAGGTGATTCTGTAACCTTGACAAAATTGGGCCCATTTTTTTATTCAATTCAGGGTATATTTCTTGCGTACCTATTGTGTGACAAACCCTAGGGATACACATTAAATGACTCCTAAACACCCAGTAGTCATTCACTCATCAGATTGTTTAGCTAGTCCCCAAACAAGTATTTTAGAAATAAGAATGGCCGTGTTGGCCCTGGTTAGGGCCTGCTGAGGTTAGAAGAAAGCAGAAGGATCTAAAAGAAATACAGAAACGGCAGGATTCCCACCACATATTTACTTACCTATTTCGCCTAAGTCAAATTTAATGGAAATGAAGTCATTGATCTTTGAGCATATTGGTTGCTCTATATATGATCTTATCTCTAAATCCAACTGGTTATAACTGCAAAACCAGCTTTCCAAATGCAGACAAACTTTTGTGTGAAGAATAGGCAGGCTATGCTTTATGAAAAAACTCACCAGGATAACCTTAGTTCCATTTTTAATAAGAAATTTTTCTGGATTCTAGAGGAATTATACTCATGAATTAATGGGAGGTTAAGTTTGTTGCAGTGGGAAAAATGGCTCTGACAATCAGCAGATGGTCTCACTGATGGACAGAATCAGTACGAACCAAAGAGAGGAAAGTGACAAGTGCATGGAGCTAATCCAACTTAAGTGCCCATTGATCCTTAACATTGTTATGTTATGGACCTGGTAGTCATACGGAATAGAATAATCCTCAACAACCAGTAGCTCGAGAGCCTATTCAATTGGAGCATTTCCAAATCTGAAGACTGATACATCTTAAGCATTCTCTAAATTACTGTGAATCAGTCATGCATTAGGGAAGATTGCCTATGCTTCTTTATAGTTCCAATACAATTTATGAGTCGTCTTTGTTTTTAGGCATTACTTAGATACCAGCGTCAATGGTGATTCTCTAGTCTTGACAGTTCTGTGCCCATTTTCATTTCAAGTCCATGTATGTTTATCGAGAGCCTATTATATAGTAAGCCCTAGGGATACACATGTCCTAGAAACTGTAAAAATAATCCTTGACCTCAACAGGCTCGCCACTCCTTCATTTGCTGCTTAAGATCAGTTCTTCATTCTTATCTGGCAGAAGGTATGTTCAAGATCTTTGAGAGAAAAGCCCACCTCCATTTCTCCCTTAAGAATCTGTTTCTCAGAACCTTTATGGAGGACTTTGTGGCACATCTTTCTTGTCTTAGCTCTCTCCCACAATTCTACCTCTTATGCAGACTTCTCATCTAAATGATTTTATCAGTGCAGCTGGGAAGTCTCTCCAATCTTTTAACTTTACTTACAGTTATCTATAGTCCCTGGGTAGTAAACAGCTGTCAGCTAGACCAATTTGCATTCATCATTCACCAGCCAAGCAGCCTAGCTCGGAGATGAGATAGAGAGCCTACGTCAACAGCCATGACAGCTATCACAGGAAGTCACTAACAGCCATCTCAGCGGGAAGCCTCCCACCTGTGAAAGACCAGCGTTTTCAGTCTCCACAGTGATGGCTTCCGCTCTGCTTTGCTCCAATGTCTGACCTCATCTGAAGGAGGACTGAGAGTGTCTATAAGTTTGCCTGAAAATTTGCAGCTGTGTGATAAAGGTAAATGACAGATTCTTGAAAAAAGTTATCATCCACAGGACATGTTTTTAGCCTGTGTCTGTACGCAAGACATAAGCAGACCAGTTGTGACTCATTCCTCCATGCTGACTGTGTTAGTGAGTGATGTGGATCACTGCACAATTAGTCCAGCTTCGGAACTGACAGGAGCCCGACTTCCAGCTCCACCTTCACATTTGCAAGTGGAGCTCAGCCAGATCAAGATCCCATTTTGGCCAAGGAGAAATGATACCCAAATTCACACATACATTGTGTCCTCCTATAGATGATGGCCTACCATGCGCTAGAGGCTGGCAGGGGCTATAAAGATGATTTTTTTTCCTCCCCTCAATCTCTTTCCAATGTTTATATTCTAATATGGAAAAGAATCATGTACATAATTATTTATAAAGATTATCCACAGTAACTATGAATAGCCTCCAATTCAGCAAACATGTATTGAATACTTATGATTTTTTTAGGATATGTACTGGGGATTTATTGCAAAATAAAGAATTATAATATAAAGATGGTATTTCAGATTATAGTATGGGAGGTTAGAACCAAAAATGGACACAGTAATCCAGTGTACAGTCTTGACATTAGAATTCTTTATATTACTCCCCTATGGTCATTCTCCCCACTCTTGCTTCTCTGCCTTCTACTCTGTGGCTTCTCCACGCCCAAAAGATTTGTGGTGGCCCCACATACAACTGAAAGTTTCAGATGAAACTTGTGAGGAGCCCTAAAGAGACTATAACAGTCGTATTGGTGCCCACGCCTTTGGCTGTTAGTGATACAGCCTTAGACTCTGAACGAAATGCTGCACACCTGAAGTTCCTATTTCTCAATGTCAGAACACACCTGTTGTATAGTGCCCTTCTCCCGTCTTCAATATTATGTCACTGCTTCCTTTATGAACAGCAGCAAGCTGAGAACTGCATTTCTTCCTTCATTTTTATTATACTGTGATTGTTCTAATCTACGTGTTGCTTTTTTCCCATGCCTCTCTAAACTCAGCGCCCAGTGCTGTGCCTGTCATATGCTCCAGTGCATCTTCTCTTGAGCTGAACTTTAAGACCTGTTCTGATAATTAAGAGAACCCTCCCCCCAAGAACTGCATGGTCCTGTGCAGAAGACATGAAGAACGGAGCACTCAGGGCAGAGCTCTAATGCCAGTCTCTTTAAGCTGCATGACCAAGGAACATACCCCTCTCCTGAAATAAGACGAGACAGCTCTGTCCCCAGGAGCTCTGACAGCCAGCTCTCCCTGAGATGAGTGCTGATATCAAGTGAAGCTAGTTCACAGTCCCTTTAAAATTAATGTGGAAATGAATGAGGACTTTATCCACTTACCTGCTTTATGAAAAGTGAGTCCTGTTCTACTTAAATGAAGGCTGAAGAAACCACAGTCATTAGCCTGGAAATACTTTAGATGAAAGACAAATTTTCTGCTGAGTTATGTTTAAAACCAGGGGAGTTTTCTCTCACTTTCCTTTTTCGCTTAGTTATTTTTCTCTTCTCTGATTGTGCCTTTGTCCTGTAAGAAGGAGGCTGCTGTGTTTCATTGTCACAAATGGAGCATGCATTTGTTCCACTGTATGACCTAGGGTAAGGAGAAGATTATATTATCAAGGAATGAAAGGAGGTTATGTAGGTTGGATGATTTGTTAAAGGAGAAAAAAGTTAAGTGTTCAGAAGAGAAATGCTCAGAAGCCCAGGAAAAGTCATCCTTTAGATTGCTATAGTAGAGGAATAGTTTGCTTAAAAAAGATCATACATAAAGGCAAAACTTCATTTTCAAAATATTAAGTGCATGCTTTTTTCCAGGATAAAGCCTTTAAGTCTTACCCTGTCGTTAACTCACTAGGCGACCTCAAACCTTTACCTACTATTTAGGGTTATTATCTAAATAAAATGAAATACAGTATGCAAAGCACTTAACCAGGCACCTAGCATAATGTAAGATTCTCAATAAATTCTAGTTATATTACAGAGGACATAGTTATATTATATAGGAAAATAATTATTATTAATTTCTATATAATAGAATAGGCATTAGTAAAAGTCATGTAATTAGTATTCTGGAAAGACCTATATATTATATATTATTAAAATGTTTTTTAAATTTGAATTTTACTTATTTGGTTTAAATTAGGGGTCTGTTTGTGTTCAGGGGAAAGGGTTGTAAAAGAAAAAAATGGTAGCTCGAGGAGTGAGACTGGAGTGCAGAGAAAATTTCAGGTGGCAAATAGAATACAAGTAGAACACGGATGTAGCTGATAGCCTGGAGGAAGACTCTGGGGGAAAAAGGAATAGAAGTCTGACTTGGTTGAATCAAAGAGGCTGGAAAAAAGGGAAGGAGAAGGAGGTTACACTAGTGGAGCAGGCTTGGTGCTGGGTCTGGAAGCTTGAGTTTGAGAAGTTAACATTCTTTACATCTGATCACAAATAATTTAAGAGGATCTGCAGCCCAGCTTGGGGAAGCGAGGGCTGTGACCTAGGATATATGTAATCAAATATTGATCACCCCTTCTTACCCTCGAAGCCGTGCTTATTTCTCTGAGTGAAGTTTCTCTGGGTGGAATCTGACATGCTGTTTTTAGTAAGGAAAGGGCTTTTTTGTTTTACCATTGAGGATGGAATGACTGTACCAGCTCAGCTAAGTAGGAAGTCAAGGTTTGCTCTTTTGCCAAACTTGCACCTATCACAGGGGCTGCCTGTTTTTCATGAGTCAGCCCATCACACTCACTTTGGTGGAATTTTTCATCTTTGAGGATTCCAATATTAACCAAGTCTAATTTTAAGAAACAAAGGAAACTATGTACAACAGTTAACAAAATAGAAAACTGCTATTTTTAACAACTCTTATAATATTCACAGAAATCGTTACTAAGAAATGAAAACTTTACAAATTATGTTCACTTAATAGTGGACCGATTTGCAGTGTAAAATATACTATTATTTTTTCTTTGTAAGAAGAGTGGGATGGGGAAAGAGTCTAAGCCTGTTTATACACAAATATAATCCTAAACGATTTGCAGAAGCTTGCTGTGGACCTCTTGGGCCAGCAGCTACATAAGGCACCTTTGTGTAAATTGGGAGGAGGCGCCCCCTGGAGGCCAACTTCATTGTGCCGTGACAATTTCCTCACTATGAGGGGGCTGGGTTAATGAGCAACCCTATGGCACCCGGCAGAGCTGGTCAGATGCAATATCCCAGCAGCCTTTCCCTTACATAAGCTCAAAAAAATTCTTAGCATGCTGTATAATGACTTTTCTCTTGGCTTGGATAACAGGTGAAAAACCTAAAGAGCAAATGGTTTTCCATGGAATTTATAACATTGCTTTTGTTATAATTGACTTTATTCAAATAAATTGCAAATTAAACTACTATAACTTGGCTCTGATCAACAGATATTCATCTATATCAAGTACTTATACATTTATATGAGTTGGGGAATAGATTCCTACAATGTAGACAAAAAAGATTTGGATTATTTTGCCTGAAGGGTAAAGATTTTCCTTGAATATCTTGCCAGAAGAATCTGCCAGATGTTTTCCATCTCTGAGTGCAGAACAAAAGGAAACTGGCTTAACCACATAGCTATCTCGACTCAGAAAACAATTTCCTAGGAAAGAGAATAATAAAATTAGTTGATAAGAGAAATTTTTTCCCAAGGTACATAGAAATGTAAAAGTAATAGTAAGGATTTTATTGCCCCACATTTTAAAATCCAGCTTTTCCTTTCCTTTGGAACTAGAAGGATAATTTGTAGATAAAAATCAACATTTTTAACTGCAAGAAAAGTTAATAAAGTTGCATGGAATAGACTTTGCACATTCATTTTGTTGGTGGTGGTGTGGGAGAACTGATTTTTGCTTGGAAAAATACCCCTGCTTGTCTACAATAGTTCAGGGCAGATGAAAGGTAGTCTTGCAGAGCAGGTCAACAGAGTACACAGTTTCATAGACCAAACTTTTGCCACCACAGACCTATAACACAAAACACTATTACATGGAAATAGCTGGCTGGTCAAGCAAAAAGAAGAGGGGACATATACAGTGTTGTGAATAAGTGTGAGTAAAGAAACCCACAGCCTGTTTCTTACCCTTTGCAAACATTGGGCTTAGAAGATAGGAAAATTGGGAGAAAAAGATGGGAAAATGGGGGTCCTCAACAGCTGTGTGACATCAGGCAATTTACATTCACTCTCTGATCCTCAGTTTTCTCATCTGTAAAATTATGTGATTGCCCTAGTTACTTACTAACGTTCTTTCCAGCCCTAATATTTTTGGTAGGAATTCCTTACATTCTTTACCTTTAAGACGTCATAGTTCTCAAATTTTAGTGTATGTGGAAATCACCTGGGGACTGTAGAAAGTGCAGATTTCACCCCCAGAGATTCTGGACACCTTCCTCAGACATTCTGATTCAGTAGGTAGATTCCAAAGAATCATTTTCACATACTCTCTGTGGGGTGAGATTGCAGGAAGGCCAAGAAATACACCTGAGAAACATTTGAATAAAATCTAACTTTCTGAATAACCGGAGACATGTCTTACTAGACTGTATATTGAGCAACTATCAGAGTGTCTGGCAAAAAGGAGGTGCCCAATGAATGTTGATTTAATGAACTACTTTTCATTTAAAAATTCTTATTTGTGATATTAATGGGTCTTCACGATTATCTGACTCTTCAAGAGAAGGAAGGGGCATTTCTAACAGAGGGCAGATAGGCTACACATAGGTTCTTAAGAAACTACAAATTGATGTAGATGTGCTTTGTAAGTTAGCGAAGTTTTTAAAAACTCATACCTTGTCTTCAATATAGCTTCCTTCCAACCCTCAAAGTAAAAGGGAAAAAAAACTGAATTCTGCACTTGTATGCCTTTTGCTAAGTGGCATAATAACAGGATGCTCTTTTTATTCTGAAAAAGGACTAACTCTTTACATTAGAGTGCTAGAAAATCAAGCTGTCACTTCAGCCCACAGCAACTGTCTCTTGCACCACCTCTGCCAAATGTCACCCTGCCTCTCTGGGGTTTGATTCCGCCACTGGATCCGGGGGAGTATGCCTCGCTGCACAGCTTGTTACATCAGTCTCTGTGCCTCCAAGTCTCAGATTCTTTCTCATTTCACCTCATGTATATTAATACAGAGATTAGTTTCACTTTTCTTCTTGAATAGCTAATCACTTGGCAGCCAGCATCCTACTGTGGCATTGCAGGTCAAAATCAGCCCAAAAGGACAGGGACTTCAAGCTGGAAAGTATAATGCTCCGTGAAAACTGCACCCAGGACCGGACCTCAGCCTTGTCACCCAGACATTAAAGATTTATTTTCAATTACCAATCCAAGCTTAATGTGAGGGCACCCTGGGGGAGATTCAGATCATTGCTTCTTCTAAATTGACCTTCTATTTGTTTTAATATTTCCTTCACTGTTGAACAGCATTCCATGACCCTCTGAGCTGGAAATCCACATTAGCTACTGTAGGAAATGCTGGGCCAGGAAAACTTTTGAAAAACTTCTCTAACAGAGGGCCGAGTTCCATGAATAATTTCCCCTGCGATGAGCCTTCACTGGTTAACACAGCAGTGGATTTCGGGCTTCAGGCAATATTTCTGATGGGATGCAGGAACCAGTGTCACACTGTTACTTAGGTTTCAGTAGAATCCAAAAGCCAAGAATTACTCCAATTTTCAATATGAGGTGGATTTATTGTTAACATCTAATCAAGACCTATCACATATCCCTTTGGCGCTAGTAAATAAGATTACCCGAGGCTAGCTGCCGGTGTGCTGCCCTGGACGCTGGAATTAGTGGTTTGCCTCCGGATATCTTGGGCCTTTATGCAGGCTTAACAGCTCCTCCAAAATGCATGCCATATGGCCCTAATCTAGGGTTCACAAGCTTGTCTTTTAAAAACTACTAATTGAAACT